TATGTGGGAGAATTAAGTTATGGTGGAAATTTGCTTTCAGAAGCAACCAAACACTAACAATTCATATAATCATGTTGGAATAGAAACCAACAATCTATTTTTTTAATGATACTTCTCTTTTTAATGTTAAAAGACGTTCTCAAATTCGAATTCCCAACTTCTCATTAATTTAAAATAATAAATAATAAATAATAAATATACAACAATAAGTATACTTATTCTGCTCCAAAAGCATGAGCATCTTTCCCTTAAAACAATCCAAGTGGTGGATGTGAGGGCATATGGACCATGACAATCACCAATCTACCCCCTAGCTAGTGAAATTGCTATAAGCAATAAAAATAAACAATTTGGAATAAAAATTAAAAATTTGTCTTCGCTTATGTAGTCAATCTACAAGCATTGAATTATTTGAACGATCTAGATATTGTGAAATGCCAAAAAAAAAAAAAAAAAAAAGAAGAAGCGTACTTTGTAAATGTAGATATTGATGTCTACGTATACATAAGTACGTGAAACAAAATTGATAAACTTTTACTTGGGGCCACGACATAAACACAACCATGTAGCATTACGTAATATTTCTCAACAAAAAAAAAAAAAAAAGCATTACGTAATATAAACATAATAAAAATCAAGCAGAGTTAACAAAGGGTAACTGAGAAAACAAGAAATTCATGCAAATAAAATAAGAACAATGAATTCTAAGGCGGTAAATTTTGAATTGATTGTTCATTTTGGGTCCACCCAATTAAACTTCACAAAGTGAGTCAGCAAACGAGATCAATTAAATCCATAAATTCCATAGTTATCACTTATAGCAAACTTAAACCAAAGCCACGTTGATGGAATGTGATCAAAAACAAGGCACAGAGAGACCAATTACATTTATATAACATAACCTGTAAGTATTCATCTATGGCTCGTTTGGTACGTTAAACTATAGTGATTAATTTCTATCGGATAGTATTTGTTGACGCTCAGTAATTACCGAGCTGAGCTGCCCAATTAAAGCAATGGTAAAAATCACCTTTGAGCTCGATCCGGGCTCCCAAAGACTGCCATACCAAAAGCCACCATATACGGGACCACCTATGCCGCCCACGATAAGACCCCATCCCATCAAGACATGACCACCTTCATACCGGACTAGAAGGCCACCCTGCCAGCGGTACCCCCCTCCTTCTTCGTGTCAGGGACAATGCACAGACCATCACGAACCAGAGATATAGGGGGGGCTGCCTAAACTGCCCCTTGACAGGACAGGATGGGACGTATACGGCTCGTCTCGGAGCTGAGGTGGTCGACTTGTAATACTTTCCATTATCAAATCCCCCGCCCTATAAATAGAGAGAGGACTCTTGTAATAAGGGAGAGGCTTCCAGAGAATACTTAGACGCACAATTAAATTCATATCGTGTTATCCATTTAAACTCATCCTTGGATTCAACATTTGGCACCGTCTGTGGGAAGACACACTCAAAGGTTACGCGTTAGCAACTTCACTACCAACATGTTGAGTTGGAAAATGAGGGGAACCTCCACCCCCGGAACCCCCCAGCCAGAAAAGCATGAAACGACAAAAGGTAGAAAAATCACGGCTGAACGCCCTTGAAGCCAAGATAGAACTACTCCTGAACGAGACCGATGCCATTCAGGACCAAAACAAGGTCCTTCAAAACCAAAACGAACGCCTCGAGGAGCAGCAGATTGGCCTCCAGGCGAACTTGCGGTGAGCCCAGAAAAAAGCCACCAGGGACTCCTGCCGCACAAGACGGGTGGAACATTGCCTGTTCAGCGAGGAAACGGCGTCCACACGCACGCCTTGGGTCAGCAACGTCGGCCTCGACCACACCCCTGAGGGGTTCGGCCAAGGGGACCACGCCCACGGAGGACCCACCCCGCAGAAGGGAGGTGAGCCCGAGTCGGGAACCAACTCCCCGATCATTGCCAAAGCAGAGCCCGACCTAAGAGAAGCCATGAGGGCCATGATCAAGGGGGAAATGGGGAGCGTCTGGGACCGACTCGGCAAGGTCGAGAAAACCCACCATCCACTTGTCCCCTCTTTCTCTAAAGACGAGATCCCCCTTCCCTACA